CAGAAGTTCAGAATTGAAAACTGTCTAGGCTGGCACGCGGCATCTCTCGTGGTGTCGTTCAGTGGCTGCGCGGCATAGGTGCCTTCTCAGCGTGAGTCACCACCTTTGATAGACAAAGTTGTCGGTGGTGCCCGATAGCACGGATTTCCTCACTTTGGATCATAACTTTTTCCGATAGAACGCAAGAAGTACATAGCGAAGGAGCTTTGGCGCAAGCGCCATCCAGCGCGGTGCCATCTTTGGCGTCATCCAGCGCGGTTCAGCGCGGAGCATCCAGACCGGTAGCATTCAGTGTGCTTGCTTATGACTTTGCAAGCAATATTTACCACGGCAAACTTACTAGCGTCCCATGCAACAGCCAAATATTGCACAGATTGAAGCCAGACTCCACATATAGCTGACATCAGCGCCAGCGCGACATAAAGACTGCCTGAAGCTGATCTCACGCCGGATTAGCAGCAGCGGCCTCAAAGCGAGAATGCGGCCCAAATGGATTTATTGTCCGCAGAGCTCCAGCAACTACGGCTCGAGCTGCCCGCTTGGCATAGACTTGTTATGGCGTACATCTGCTTCAGTCAGACCAGATAAAATATAATTCCTGCCCTGGTCCGGGGGAAATCATTTCCAGGCCTTTCGAGGAAGTTAATCAATCACGATAGGTACGGTCAATCACGATAGGTACTGTCTATCTTTGCGCACATGGCCATTCGGTCACTCATACGATGCGTGGTCGGGAGTTAAATTTTGGAACAAGCTAAGCTGGTGTGCGGTATGCACATCCTGTGGCAATCGGCAGCATTCGTCGGCTGCCGAGCACATTTCGCGTTTTGCCCTGCATTCGTCACCGGACAGATCCAGCATTTTATCCGCCCACGAATCCTTTCCGCACGCGCCCGCATCGCGGGCCGGACTCCACCGTTGGTAACAGTCAGCTGGCGGCCCGACCACAAATAGCCCGTGATGACGTCACTAGGGGGAGGAGCGGGCGGGTCGACCGGCGGACCATGCGGCGGTTCCGACGATCGGTGGGGGAGGGGGGGGGGGGGGTGGGTAGCGCCGACCTCTCTACCACACGATCGCGGCGACATGACAGGGCGGGTAGATCAGCTGCTGGCCTGTGCTCATGCGTGGCGATTTGGGCCTGGATGTAGCGAAACGTTTTCTTTTATCACGAAACTGGAATGGGGTGTTTTAGCATGTTATATGGTATTGTTTCAGGACGATTTCGCACTGTACTCAAGTGTAGAAAAAACTCTTTTCGACGATCCTATTGTACATTTGATATCTGTGTCACGCGTCTTAAATGTATTTCATAATATTGCGTATATATATACGTCTCACCAGACTGCGTTTAGGGCGGTGAACAGTGATTATTACTCGGTTTGTGAGAAAACTTGCCGTGCATGATAAGGCAAACGCCATACTTCTCATCACATGACAGAATACAATTGGCAGGATATTAACGCAGATAGGTTACGAACATTGTGTTATTTTGACATGTGGGGCAAAAATAAACCAATCTGTTCTTATTAAGCCCAATTGTTAATTCAGTGCTCGAAGAAATTGTCATACCGAAACTTTTAGGTAATCATATTGACACTTTCTCGCCTGCAGCAATGAGATGAATTTGTTAAACGTTGTTTTGGTTTCCGAGTCCCGAGTGCGTAACTCGCAAGTTGCAAACCGCCGCACTAGTCTCATGACGGTTTCGGCTTATGGTGGCGATTGGGGCGGAAACTGCGACGCTCTTTACTACGTGTACGCGTAACCGCGTCACGAGCTCTTCAACAAGCCAGCGGCGTCTTGTAAACGAAGCAAATGTACTTGCAGCCTCGCGGGGCAGATCTGAACCTTTCGAATGGATGGACTTCTGAGATCAGAGCTCACGCTAAGCGGCGCTTATTGTGTGAGCCCTGGACCCTACCATCTGATCATGGAATTTCAGGTCAACTACAAAGTTTGGCAACGAAAGGTTGCAGTGCCGCTATGCTCGGCATGGTTCGTCCTTCCCTCTCGGGCCATAGCTGTTAAGGGCAAATAGCGAGCACCTAAGGGGAATCGAACGCGCCTCGCTGCACGTGGATGGATCGAGAGGCAACGCTCTAACCCACTGATCTATCAGGACGGGCATGCGTGTGCGGCGTTAGAGTGTTTGGCGCTCAGAGGGGGTCAGTTAGAGTGCTTGGCTCTCAGAGAGGGTCAGTTGGAGTGTTTGGCGCTCAGAGAGGGTCAGTTGGAGTGTTTGGCGCTCAGAGGGGGTCAGTTGGAGTGTTTGGCGCTCAGAGGGGGTCCGTTAGAGTGCTTGGCTCTCAGAGGGGGTCAGTTGGAGTGTTTGGCGCTCAGAGGGGGTCAGTTGGAGTGTTTGGCGCTCAGAGGGGGTCAGTTAGAGTGCTTGGCTCTCAGAGGGGGTCAGTTAGAGTGCTTGGCTCTCAGAGGGGGTCAGTTGGAGTGTTCGGCGCTCAGAGGGGGTCAGCTGGAGTGTTTGGCGCTCAGAGGAGGTCAATTTGAGTGTTTAACACTCAGAGGGGGGGCAGCTTGAGTGTTTGGCGCTCAGAAGGGGTCAGTTGGAGTGTTTGGCGATCATAGGGGGTCAGTTCCTCAGCGTCTACTGGAAGCCCGGCCGCTGTTCTGCCTTTGAACCGGCCTGAACCCGACAGCCAAACACGGGCGAGCGGACATTGTGGTACAGGACTGGGACTTACGCTTTTGTGTAATTCTGATGTGATAGCTGACTTCTAACTTAGTTCAGTTACTCACGTTGCAATCTGCAAAGCGTCCTGGCAGGCTCTTTTTACGGAAATAGGAAACTAGCTGAGTTTCGAGCCCATTTCACTCGACCAGTACATGTGACTGAGCGATGCCGTCCTATCGCGTATGCTGTGCTAAGGCATAACGTGTTTTGATGGTCGTATCCAGGCTGGTTTTTATCTTTTGAACGAATCACTGAGTAAATATTAGGAGCGTGCTACTCGTAAGTCTAAACCATTTAAACGTGGCAAAATTTGTTTGACTCCTACGCGTAAGCCCATTTTATACGGAGATCGTGCTAGCTACGAAGCTGTTTTGTTGTTCTAGGCCTCAAATTCATGGTCGGAGCGCGTCCGTTCTTTGGTGCAAGAACCTTCCAAAAGTGCTGTCAATGGCGCGCCAAAGGCAAGAAAAGACGATAAAAGGCTGTATTATGTCACGTATTGAGTGTACCCAAAGCGCACGTTACATAAAAGAATGCATTCTGAATTCAAGCACATAAAGTGTAACACGCTGCAAGTGTTCAAGCACAATGCAATGTGCAAATTTCTGCAACTGAAATAAACAACCGAAGTGTATTATCATTGGAACCTACGATAGCCTCCACAAACTAGTAAGAATGCATTGTTTCCACAAGTCACCTGGCCTAAGTCAATATGCACCCCAAAAAAGGCAACCTCCTGCCATTATTACTCCTGAATCCGTACCTGCCAGTCTGCATGCGTCGCACATCTCCTAGATGTGATCCGCCCTGATGTAATCTGCCGTGCTCCGACCCATTTCAGGTAAACATTGCCCAGATGTAGTCAAAGATATGTGGCCGACACGTCGGCCTCAAACAGCGCCGGTTTCGTTCAGACGTACCGTCCAAAGTCCGTGCCTGGTGTCGCCCTCGACTGGTTTAGGAAGTCCAGATGTTATAGGTCCGGACAAATTCATTTTCAAGAAAATCCACCCAGTTTCATAGCGCGAGGCGTACCGGTCTGGCGTGCAGTTTCAAAACAACGGCTTGAGTCCGCGTGACCCTCGAATAAAGTTAGAGGCGCACGACCAACCAGAAAAGTATGTTCTTAAATAGCAGAAGCTTGAATGATATTCTTTCAAATCAGTTGACAGCGTCCTTTTTAAGTAGTTTTCTCTTTACGTTGTAATTGTGCAAATGTTGGACATAAGCATGGATCATATGGAAGGCAAATGCCGATAGTAATGTGCTCTAGTTCACATCGTTACAGGTAAAGGCAAAGTCCAAGAGTGGCAGCATTCCTTTTGTTTTGTTCTAAGGCAAACAAAGTAATAGGGTTTCGGCGACTTATTCCCTCTCCCATCTCCTGAATTTCTCTAAAGAAACCACAACATAGCTTTTCCCTAGGTGAAAAGCCAGTAGCAATTGGATTGGTAGCCAATGTGGTGAATTCTTCTTCAGCTACCATTCTGCCTCCAAGTGTAGATGATACGGTGTATCAGCTGATAAATGGATCTGCAGACTAAAGTGCAAATGATAGCCCTCAGCTATCACCCTTCTGCACGGCGTGAGTGATGCGGCCTGTACGAACGCGATTATCAGCAAGATAACTTCCGTTGAATGCGTCACCGTCGTTACAAGTCATCACCCTGTCCATTCGAGTACTGCTTGGCGACATGTGCGAGCAGAACAATAAACGTTTGATAACGACAAACGTACACAGTCAGCACGGCGTCCGGAGAAAATATAGCATTGCCTAAGAAAAGTGGCACAACACGTTTCAGAATAGGTTCCCGGCGAAAATGCTGGAATTGATATGAATTAAAAACAAGTCAGTGTACAACACAAGCATGCACATCAATGCTCGAAAAGGTAACAAACGTGGATACGTACGTGGTAGAATACCATAGTAGCTCGCAAATCCACGTGCCAGACAGGTATCGTAGAGTTTCTTCATGGCGTGCCCACCTTCTGTCTAGCGTGCAACAGTCGTAAACTGCGGACCTCCATCGTTGCAAAACGGGAATGCACTACGGCAGGCCTTCAGAATGTACTACGGCAGGCCTTCAGAATGTACTACGGCAGGCCTTCAGAATGTACTACGACAGGCCTTCAGAATGCACTACGGCAGGCCTTCAGAATGTACTACGTGAACACTGTAACAGTATAAAACAGTGGCGATGTCGAGTGATTACAAGTTTGATCTTGGGCTCCAGATCATCGCTGTGTCGACTCAAGATACCTCAATGGGGAAATATGCGTGTGCAGACAGCGGTCTTCCAAACATTGCTGAAGGAGGCTTTCGTGTTTTATTAAAGCTTCGTGACATAGACTTAGTGAAAGCATAGCGACAGTGGAAATGGACATGACTGTTATAGAGACAGAAAAGTGACCGCAGTACACGGCAACAGCTCCGAAAGGACACTTTTATCGCAAGTTTGATGAAGCCGAGTGCCGGACTTCGGCGTGGCAGCCCAGCAGTCATTGATGACCTATTCATTAGTTTGATCTTCGTGCGCCTCTCCGTTACCTGGAAGTCAGTTGAAGTGAATGTTACAGGCATCATGCCCAATCGTTACTTTCAAACCAAGCATACGTCAAATCAAGTGAAACATGCTAACGAAACTTTGGTTCCAAGGCATACATATCGGCTGTTTTGCGTGCAACGGGATTATCTTGCTTCAGGTCTTTGGAAATGTACCATTTACACATCGCACTGAGTTCGTACCCTCAAAATATTCATTCAGTATGCGAATCTCATCCTCCATAGAAAGTGAATCACAGATGACAGATTGCTTTACAATTGGGAGCGAAGCACATTTGTCGAGGAAGCACGAAATTTGAGCAACTCACAGCACCGTTGTTGACTTGGCATCACACATCCATTGTCGGTTAGGAAAGATATAATGCGTTGAGCGGTAGTGGCGGTAAACAAAAGAATAGAAATAGCCGGAGGCATATAGCGAAAAACTCGCTATGTCTAAGACGAAAAGAAATGCCTTGCAGGTCTTCAAAGCAGCAATCCATGTATGAATGGAGCACGATATAAGCAAAAAAGCCTCGAGCTCCTGTTTTTCTGCGGTGTTTTTTCTGCTGAGCCAGGAGTTCTATGCTGACAGCTACTGACTTCCCATGCCCCATGAGGTGCTGGTTAAGCGATGCCAGCCAGCGCCTCTCAGTACATTGAAAGTCTATAACCGCCAGCGTACGAACTCTGAGCTCATAAATAAAGCGCAATGGGTCATTAAAGTTGCGGAGTCGTTCAGATGGAGATGTCTGGATAGGTCGTGGGGTCGTCATACAGCTGCACCTAATTAAAGCTGTGGTCAGTCGTCCTACGCAGGGGGGGGGGGGGGGGAGGGCGGTATGGTCGGAGTTAGTGCTTCACGGTAGACGGTCAGCTATTCTGGTCGTCGAGTTATCTATCCGCGTGTAACATGTGTCGAGAGATGAAACTTCGTCCAGATCGTTGAAGGGAGGGGGAGGGAAGCGCTGGGCTCGGAGGTCAAATATTTTCAGACAGCGTCCGTGGGAGCCGTGTTGAAGTTCCGAACCGCAGGGCGAGCTCGAGCCTCTCAGGTAAAACGAAAGCACAGAGAAGATGGACGGTCGCACTCATGGAAGGTTTGTTCAGCGCACATCGTGAGCTTGGCCTGTCGTCAGCGGTACGTACAATAGTTCTCCTGAGCTGACGTCTCTGGAGCCCCGGGCTTGATGTTGGACGCGCTCTGTTCCGTGGAACGTTCAGCACAGTCCCCTATGGACATGCACGACGGGTCAGGGTCCGCCGGCGGCACGCTTCCCACGCCGGGTCAGTGAGCTTCAGCCGGCCTCGCCGGCTTCAGGCGGCGCAGGCCGGCTGAAGCTCACGGACAGGCTGCGCTAGCTAGCCCGGTGTCAGCGGGTACTCAAGACGCAATCGACGCTAGACTGGCTGCAGGCGCTAGGCTGAAGCTAGGCTGATGCTAGGCTGCAGGCGCCGCTCAGCTAAGCGACCTCTTTACCGTCGCGTGCACAGCAATCCACGGAGCGGCCAGACTACCCCGCCGCCACGCGCACCACACACGCACACGCAGGCACGCACGAGCGGCCCGGCGGCCCGGGCGAGCCGCGCCCGCCGCGCCCGCCGGCCTCACTTTTCCGGTGCGAGTGGGCCGGGTCGTCTCGCGGCAGCGGCAGCAGGCGGGCGGCCATGTCCTGCGAGCGGGCGCGCTCGCCGCTGTAGAAGCGCGAGTGCGGCCGCTTCGACACCACCCGGCCGCCCAGCAGGCTCACGCAGGCCAGGTGGCCGGATCCTTCGGGACGGCCGGCCACCGGCGGCGGTTAGTGGGCCCCGGCGAGGCGGCGCCGCCGGCCAGCGGTCAGCGGTCGAGCTGGGCCGGCCGGCGCGCTTCTAATAGTATTCGCGTCCGAGGGCTAGGACTCGGTCCGATCGAAGGAGCTTAATTCGTGTCAGTTTAGAATGTCTGGTGTTTTTAGGAACAAGTGCATGTGCGGGTTCGATGATGAGCTATCATTTCATGGATCAGGCCAGAAGATGAGGTTAATGTGCCGTTCTGTCGTTGGCTCGGCATCGCTCGGTCAGATGATAGGGGTCAGAGTCCACACGACAAGCACTGCTAGTCGCGAGCTCTGATCCTAGAAGTCCAGCCGTTCGAAAGGGTTCGAATTTGATTTTTGAAAAAAAGAAATTAATGTAAACCCCAATTAATGGGTAGTTGAATTAGGCATGAGCCGGAACAAGACCTTCAATCGAACTTAGTACTTCCCCATGGGCCCGCGAGTGGCCTCGAAGCTAGCGAGCGAGCAGTCACAGCCTCACCCCCCTCGCGAGCGTGCAGCTTTGGGAGCGGACGTATCTCGCCACACCGCAGCATTTCACGTCAGGCGTTGTTACCGCTGGTTAATGGAAAGTCGCAAGATTAATGGAAGATGGGAGTGTGTCACATTAGCGCCAAATTGCATTTTAGTGCTCGGATGACAGCGCGTATGTACAGGCGTCAAATTATTGATGGGGTTCGGCTGAAGGAGTAATGCACTGTACTGCGTCACGGTTAACTGCGCGCTAGACACGGCAGCGCGAAGCTATGAGTGACGCAAAGCGGCGCGAGTGGGACGATATGACGTACCCATTCGCTTGTAATCGTTCTGGGCGGCGCTCTGCGCCTTGTCGAAGCGTGACTTGATCTCGATGTTTCGCCGGATGGGTTTCATGTCCTCGGTGATCGGGGGTCGGTACTTGCTGTACTTGTACTGCGAGCTGACCGGCTCCTTGTAGCGTCTGTGCGTGAGCGATCTGGCGTTAGACGCTCTGGATAATGAAGGCCCGCATGGCGCCTTGTGGCGCCTACGCGCGGACGTGGTCTGGACGGGTGGACAAAATGAAGCTGGAAGACACTTGGAAGAGCACGCACACATGCTGTTTTCGAATGGCCGGACACACGTTATTGGACTGGACGCGAAAGGTGAAGGCTCTCTGCAGTATCTCTGCGGTGTTTTTGCAAAGTGACGTCGCTGCGCAATGCGTTCTGACGTCGGCCTGCCCCACAGTGCACCTGTCACGAGAGAACTCCGAGCACGTGTAGGGAGCCGCCAGTCAGCTGGCAGGTGTTGTGACTACGCCGTTCGATTCAGCCCTTCTCCGCCGTGCGGCTCGCTCGTGTCTGATTGCGTGCCGCACTATAGCCGAGCTAGGAACCCACGCGAGAAGCACCACGTCCGCCAAAGAAGCCGACATTTTGCCCGCGGCGCCGCTGCGTGGCTTCACGACCGAGCAGACAGGGCTTCACGCTGAACGGCCCCGGGGCAGCCGACCTCTCGGACACTTCCATGTGATACAGCGTGCGCTTGGTGCTTAGTGAAGGGCGCCGGCGGGACATATGGTACAGGTGGACAAAACGGCTTTCCAATAAAAAGCGACATACATTAATCAATCTGAGACGACGTCTTCTTGCTGACGTCAGGGACCTGGTATTGCACGCATTGTCTGCGTCCCGCAGATATAGTGATGTGTAAGATGCCGTGCACGTCAACGGATATGAAGAATCCTGCCCGGGATACACCAGCGCGGCCTAGATACCGCATCTGGACGCTGTCGTGACCACTTCGAACATATCAAGTGCAGCGCGCCAGAATCAGCGCATTCGTAAAATTGCCCACTAAACAGTCAACGCGAAGAAAAGAATGCATATCGTGGCTGCTGTAAGTCATTCATGATTAAACATAAGCACCGCATCACACGTCAATCACAATTACGCCGTGAATTTTAGATGTATTAGTTACATATCAACTATGCATGCGTTCAACGCCGGAATCGAGTTACAGCAGCACAAGACGAACTGGCATATTTGCATGATATGACGGAGAACTGGTCTGGGACGCGTGATTAAACGGACATGACAGGGTAATGACAATCCATAACCTCATGATGCCAAACCTTGTCGAAAAATAGCGGAGACAGGCCTCCGGACCTGGGCTTTCCTCAGGTTCAAGTCGTGACGCACAAGCCATAGAAAATCCTCAAAATGGAACACTAATTATACAGGGGAATTACGCAACTGTCACAGGGTAATTATACAGGGAATTACACAGGGGAACTGCGCAACTGTTCCTTCTTTTACCAACGGTGTGGCTGCCATGTCTACCACGCAATTCGCCTGCATGGAATGCTTACAACGCAAGCATTTCTGCAAGCTCAGAAGAGCTCAGACAAGTTGTGCTTTGTCTGCCGCCATGCAAGGTGAGAGCTTGCTGGTTATCTCAGTTTACGTTCGTGGACTTATTGATGGACGTATGTGCCCACGGTAATGTTTTACGCAATAACCATGTGCTAGATTTCGCACAAACGTGGGTCAAGACGCTTTTTATGTGCACTTGATTTAATCCTGAATTTGTATTCATATAATGTTATTTATCAATTCTGTTAAAAATCAATTGTTTAGCTGGTGTCTTAGTTTCCTAGTCAGAAGAAATTTGGCCAAATCCGGGGACGAAACATGTTTGTTGACGTATTTAAGGGGAGTATTGCGCCATTTTACACAGCTTAGTCCGTCCCCAACTCATTTGGCGAGCCCCTCGTATATGACGATTAATAGGGCATGTCCCTGCTGTACTTTGTGGGGCTCAACTCAAAGCTAGAGCCAGGTAGAGCTATCCCCACGTAAGCAGCAAAGCATGCGAATTATGATGCCCTGCAATTTGTCTAACATAATATTTGTGCAACATTAATGTAATCATCATGAAGTCCCATCCAAATACGCATAATTAAGTGGTAGTACAGTAGTACGTACAAAACGTGAAAGACATGTCATGTATTTAGGGTATTCATGTATCTAATAACCAGGGTGTCATATCTTTATTAACATAATGATATTTCAATATGGTCGTCGGTGGCTACCCATATGAACCCAACCTAATCCGCCCAAGATGGTTTGTTTTTTATTAGAGTCTTTTCGACCAGAAATTATCATTTCAGGGCTATGGGATGGAGGAGAATGGATAACGTTGGGGACGGTCCACATGCCCCGGGGGGGGGGGGGGGGGGGAGCAACCGCCGGGCCTTAGCCCGCGCAGGGACTCTTCGGAGTGTGCTCTGGGCGCCCGGTCGGGGCCCACTCGTGACTGAAGCATGCAGCTTCCACCAGACAGGCGGGGTGTCGCGAGGACGCAGGAAAAGACAAGACAGGAGGATAAAAGGTTCGGATGACCCATAATAGACTGTCCCTGTGAATAAGTGCGCATGCTTTTTGAGCGCACGAATGTAATGCTTGGCAGTGGTTTTGTCCTAATTCAGACCTGGGAAGGCCCACGGCCGACAGCTTGTCTCCGCCTTTCTTAGATAAAGTTCAGCATTATGAGACTGGTTTACCAGAACCTTGTCACGACATTTTTCCGTGTTAAGTGATCTTTCATCATTCAAAAACCTAAGAATCTCCATAGCAAAAACATCGGAGACGAAATGGCAGAAAAACACATTCACCACATAGCAGGGAGTCCATCCCTCGCACCGCAGCTTTCGCATTACGTCAGCCAGATTTTGTGGCACCACATGACGTCACAAGGGCAAAATCTGTCTATCACACTAGATCATGGCCGGACAAATCAGGGCTGTCAGGGGCTCCCCAGACAGCGGCAGCGGCTGTCATCGGAAATAGCGCATGCGGTGTCCTAGAGCGGCAGTGGGCTCGTGGACTCGGAGTGTGTGGAGCATACCAATGAGAGAGAATGCGCTTGCTGGTTGGGGAGCGTAAGGAGCACGTTCTTGTCATTGGGGCTCTGAGATGCACTCAGCCGCTGAGGCTTTATGGCGTCGCCTGCCTCCCACCCTGGCAGGAAGGGTGGGTGCCACGGGGAATTGCACCGCTCACCCCTGGTTTCCCAGACGCGTTGACGACTGCCCTGTCGCCACCCATGCGCACCACACAGTCTAACCTAACTGGAACGTTCGATGCGGAACACACCGCGTACTGACTTGGGCGTGTATGGCGGCACGACCGAGATGTGGCGGGGCCGCGGCGTGCAGAGGTCACTGATGCGCTTGTTGGCGTTGGCGATGGCCTCGGCCTGCGCGTGGTGGATGCGGTCCTCGTACCACTGCAAGGCGCGCGCCCGAGTGAAGCGGGGCGGCTCGTCAGCACGGATACACGCATCGCAATGTAAGGACACACGAGCGGAGCTCTTGGAAAGCACGCTGAATGCTCTGCTGGCATCGTCAAGCATTGAGAACGATGCTGGTGAGATGGAACATGAGAGACAACGTTTCATAAACACTAGACGCTTTCACGGCGGTTTCGATGGGGCAACTTACGCTGTGCAGCTCATCTTCGCCGCTCACAAAAGGGCCGGTAATGACCGGCCTCAGTTGGGGGGCTGGCCGCGATACGTAAGTGACTTGGTACGTTTGCTTGGGAGTTCCGCAGTTCGAACAGCAGTTAGCACAGGCAGATCCAGGGCTGGGCTGGCCGTGCAAAGAAAAATCCAGCTTTCAAGCAAAAGTCGACGCATAGCATGCACAACAAAAGCAAAAGTGAGCATAAGAAATGCCTGAGTGAGGCTAAGAACAAAATGTAGAAGCGGAAGGCACCCACTTGATTCATTAAGAACCAGCAAGATGTGCCAGAATAAGCAGCAAAAAAGGAAGTGAAAAAGAAAAACAGGCAAAAGAAGCGTGTGTTACAGGACTCCCCAAAGCAGCATGTCACTCCTCTCTATCCAGCGCTTCAGGCTTATCATGTTCTCATCACGACCAGGTAGGTATTTGTTATCAGCAGGCTTTACGCTTTGCAGCAAACCTGATGCTTGCATTTTTGCTAATGCGTGCCATTCTGCACCACGAAGCTGGGTTGAAGATGACTGGGGCCCGTAACCCCTGACATGTCATCTCTGGTCCGCTTCCCGACTTTGATCACATGTCCTGCGAGCACTGGCTTGTTGATCCAACGATCTTATACTCGAGCTACACGCCATACCTCTCCGACCGAGACCTGCCACCCCTCCGCCTGGCGTCACAGCCCTGCTGACCCCTGACCTTCAGCACGGGGTCGTCGTCGAGCTCGTCCGACAACCGGGCGAGGGTGCGCCGGCGCGGCAGCACCACGACATCCTCCGGCTCCCACAGATAGTACGGCATTGCCGGCGACGAGTAAGCCGGCACGGAGACTGGAGTCAGGCGCTGGTGGGCCACAGTCGGGACGCTCCTCAGGTAGCTGCCCGCCTGCCGAGGCGCCGGGAGGTCACGGGCCCGCTCACAGGCGGCTCACGGGCCAGCGGCAGCGCAGGCCAAGTAGACCATGCTACACTGAGGATGACAGTTCGGAGGATGCCTTGCTTAGTTCCTGCCTTTACTCGTATCTCTTCTGATCATAGTCAATATCTGTTGTTTACCGTGGACACCATTCGCTAGCTCCCGTACGTAACGCAAAAGCAACGCATGGTTCTCCGTAATGTCGTTATTGAGCGAAGCAAGCAGTTCCATAACATCAGCGGTTTATTTGTGCATCGATTGTGCTGGACCAGCGGACGGTTTGGGTGCAGAGCGGGTATGTATAGATCACTCAAGATGGAATCTGAAATAGAACAACCATTAAGCATTCGACGAATGTTAAACGGCCCGCACATGTGTAAATCACCACATGGGAGCACGCAAGCACACAACACTGACACCATCTGCGCGGGCAGTGATCACTAACACCACCAGCAGGCACCGCAATCACCAGCGGCACCACCAGCAGCCCCGTCGTTACTGAAGACAGCAGCGGCAGCAACAGCGGCAGCATCGGCGGAGGCAGCGGCAGACCGGCCGACATTTGGCCGGGCTGGGACGGGGTTAGCCAGCGAGAGAAGCGCGCCGATGAAGTGCGACACTCACCGTGGGCACCGGGTCGCTATCGTCCTCCTCACCCTGCAGTACACGACCCCGGGTTACACGGGAAGCGCCTGAGGGCTGCGCCGGGCCGGCGGACCGCCGGCCGAGGGCGACGGCGGTCGGGTCGGACGGTTGCCATGGCGACCAGGACGAGGTCGGGGCGGCCGCCGGCGGAAATTGGCTAAAAAATGGCCGGATGGCAGGCTGGGCAGGTCACAAAGGACGATGGGACGCGGCACGGCTCCGTGGAGACGCCAATAAGCTCATTCGGATGCGCTCGTTACCGTTCTCAGCCGAGGCCGAGACGAAACATAACGTTACCGTTCTCAGCCGAGGCCGAGACGAAATAGAACGACGTGCCGACGTGTGGATTCTGCGAGATAGATGGCAGCTGGCTTCGTGTGAACGACGCTTATCGCTGGAAGTTAGAGAATGTAGAGGATGTCTGATGGTGCATGCATCCCTCGTGCTCTCGAGGGCTCCGTGTGTGTCAGGTGTTTGACTACGAAGTCGTCAGGAAGACATTTGCTGAGGACTTCATGGAGACCGCGATCTGGCCACTCCGTTGGAAGAGTAATTTTCAGGTATTGCCCAGCAGGTTGACGTGGGGGCGTTTTAAAGTGATTTTGTGTCGAGAAATATGACTTACCCAAAAGTCGGGTTAATAATAGCCATATTTACAGAAAGCCAGAAGCAGACTGTTGAAACTTCCCAGACCCACTAAAAGTCGATGGCGTAGAACATTTGTAAATTTTAAAGCAAAAAAAAAGAATAATGCATACTAATCCCAAGGCAAAAACTAGCTTTGGGGGTGTTCCTTCATTCAAACTCGCAATGCCTTCCCTTTGGAGACCGTGGACATACGTACCTCCCAACCCACCGTACCCGTACCTACGTACCTGGCGTGTTAAAGTGATTTTGTGTCGAGAAATATGACTTACCCAAAAGTCGGGTTAATAATAGCCATATTTACAGAAAGCCAGTAGCAGACTGTTGAAACTTCCCAGACCCACTAAAAGTCGATGGCGTAGAACATTTGTAAATTTTAAAGCAAAAAAAAGAATAATGCATACTACTCCCAAGGCAAAAACTAGCTTTGGGGGTGTTCCTTCATTCAAACTCGCAATGCCTTCCCTTTGGAGACCGTGGACCTACGTACCTCCCAAACACGCCGTAAATCTATACGAAACTAGTTTAGTCAGAAACGTTTCAACTACTCAAAATGCGGTTAGCAGCATGCAAAGGTAGAGGGCGGGGTCTGGGAAGGCGTGGTGTGGGGAGGATCTAATAGAAGCGGGGCGTGGACGACGAGGTCTCGACAACTCGCTCCACTCGCTTCACCACCCTCTCGTTAACGTCGCTGCTCTGTGGACAGGCAGGCAGAACGACACCTCAGCTGTCAAGTGCGCCGTCTGCGGCCAGGCGCGGATGAGACAGATTCACAGAATGGCTCCGGCGTTGGACAGGCGCCAGTCGGATGTTCGTACGTCAGCGGTGGCATTAGGCGTGCCGACTCGAGTGATGCGACGCGCGAGCGAGAAGGCACATTGCAGCGAGCGCTCTCTCCGCCAGTTATTGGCCCTCTCGGGGACTGGGTGCAGCAGACCGAACAGCTCATACAAATGGCGCAGGGCTTCGGTGACTGAGAATCGGACTGAACGTGAAGGAGCCAGCTGGTAGCGGCACGCATTATCTCGATTAAGCAGAAGGAATGAGACATTCCTCAAAGGACCTTCACAATAGGAGCCACTCCTATACTTCCGTGGCAATACAAGTGACGTTAGGTCGTCCTCACTCCTGTCACCACGGGCTGTCTACGGGCTGCCTTCCTGTTAGTACTGAATGAACCCATGAGTGATTTAGCTGTCATTTGGCATCCGGAATGACGAAGCTCCCGGATAATACCGCTGGGTGACCGAGCTGTCGCGGCGTATCCTCGTGACTCTGAGTGCAGCCGGACAGACAGGCTCCGCTGCTGTGTCGGCACAGCATCGAGGGACATCCCAAAGATGTCAACCCAGTCAGTGTGAATGAGACGCGCCAGTTGAGGTTCACGGGCCGCCAGACTGACTCAAAGCTACCCCACATCGCGTTTACTGCCTCGTTCGTTCCAGATTTCCAGCATGCTTGTTCAGCTGTCCAATGGAGTGGTCGGGAATCCCTCGTCATTTTTTTCCTGCCGGGCCAGGTCTAAAAAAAAACTCAAGGCTGTGACAAATGTACAAACCGACGCATAGGTAATGGCTTGTGTCCTACCCATCCTGCCAACAAAGCCGTCTTCGAGAGCTGCAGCCCCCAGCCCTGGCACGAGAAGCCAAGTTGAGCGAGTGTGTCGAGTCCGGGCGCGGTCCTCCGGCCACGCCACGCCCCACCGCTTGTCAGCCAATCAGCGAGCCGGCCGTCACGTCGGGCGACTCGCTGATTGGCCAGGACGCTGGCTGGCTGGGTGCGGCGCGGCCTTGACCGCACCCGGCCCCGGCGTCGACCTCTTACCCTGGGATAGCGAGGGTGCAGTTCGCTGGAGTAGGTGGTAGTGATCCTGGGCGGCGGCACATAGCGGCTCGTTCTGGAGGGCGTCATGTAGGACGAGTGGTAGCTCCTGGCCTGGCGACAGGTCACAAGAGGTTGGGTCGCGACCCAAGAGCCGGGAGAGGCAGAGGCAGCTTGGTCTGATCTAGCTCACATCCTCTCAGCTACGAGTATATGCCGAAGGCGGTTGCACGCAAACAGGTTGCGATCTGTCTACAACTGCTGGACTAGAGATGGTAGAGCATGAAACAATGAGACCAAGCACCTCCTATTGCAGGTAGAGCTAATGGGACAGGGACTCAGTCGTAATTATTGGTGTATGCTCGTGGGATCCTCGGGCCGACGGTTTAAAAGACGAGCCATGCGGGACTCGTTGAACGGGTAGCACGAAACCGTGGTTGCCATCATGCAGGTGGCTGTACCGAGATTCTGAGTGAATGACGGATGGTTGTGGGTGGACAGGCACTGAAAACGAAGGAAGAACAGGCGCCCCAAGCGAAAGGAATCGAAAACCTTTGATGATTTTTGCGCAGTAAGTGGTATTGACTGGCTTGGTAAAGTGCTGGGTGAGAATTATGCCATGGTTTTGTCTCACTAGATCGGAATTGGAAGCAAAGTTCTGAGCAAGACATCAGCCGATGCCTGTACGGACAGTTGTCAACAGGTGTGCAGTTTGTTTTGTTCAGTGACAGCTACCTAGACCTGGTATTTTTCATCATAAACAAGCGCTTAACTTGGCGATGCGTCTGCATGCAAAGCTACTAACTGTTCCGAATGATTTATTTGAGAATGTAGTAAAAATTACATGCTTGTAGCTTTTAAGACCGTTTAACATTGTTTGCAGCCGGTGATATTATGTGATTCGGTCGTTTATTCAAAAGATGGTTGCATGAATCGAATAACATTTGCGTGGGCCAGAGATATGATAAGCCACGGCTTGTTTAGCATGTAGAAAAACAGCCAGGTGATTGCAAGACGCAAGGTTTTTGACAGCAAAAATAAAGGTATGCTCAAGAGCTGAGAATTCGAGTTTTCATAATATAAGAAGATTCGAATGGATTCGAACATTGCAACTCCTCGAACCTTCAAAACCAGAATCATAGGCTGGAAAATCAGGATTCAAATGAAAAAAACCAAAACACATCCTGAAAGCTGTCATCTAAATATGCAAATAAAGGTGTCGAATACGATCTTGGTTTACATTTCCTCCAGATGAACAAAGTGCAACGCATTAATATCGGCTCTTTGTCGGAAGGGAGCTGCTCGCCCTTCCTTTGATCGCACTGAATTAGCTCGAAATATTTATCTAAGGTGTTCAGTGCATTTGCGAGGAACATTTTTCACATAGATAAGACAGTAGTAATAGCCTTATTCCTCGGAGAAGAGCCATGTGAATGGAGGTCCAATGGGTCGATATTTCGGCAACATGCACTTATCGAAACAAAGGCAGAAGTCATTATTTCTATTATTTCGATAAAGAATGTTGCCAAAATACCAACCCATCTATATCTCCATTCTCATGGTTTTTCCCCCAGGAATAAGGCTATTATTGCTGCCTTATCTGTACGAAATTTTTATCCAAAGTGTTGACTGCATTCAAGTTGATTCCGATTTCAAATTAGAACCCAAATTCGAATCCAACTATCCCGAGATTTTAATTTCAAAATGATGCATGTTCTCAGCTCTTGTGTGGTCTATCTTAGAAAAAACTATGCCTTGAATTTGCAGCCCGTTGCCCCATGTGGTGAATCAATGAGCGCGTTTTAGTCGTAATTTTGAAGTTCCTGAGGGAGTTTGGCTGTTGGACATTCGCAGGATATGAAAAGGACTTTCAGTCGGAAGGGACATGAGATTGGGAAAAGCAGACAACCACGACAAAGACGAACCAAAGGGGTGCATCAACAGAACACTGCAAAGAAGCAACATAGTAAACATCAACCACAAACACTCCAACCATTGAGACTCAACCAAAAGTACAAATCAAAGAATGACTTGCATAGATGTAAAGTAAGACCACCAAGAGCCCTAGATTACAAACGGAGGGATGTAGACTAGAGACGCAACTCTTCCATGTCATATATTTTCAGCCGCGGTTTTCCAGTTGGTAGCTACAAGTTTTGCTCGTATTGCTGGTTACTGATTTCGCTATTCTCATGCATGCAATTTTGTGTGATTTTGGAGGCCTCATTGCCCTTTGTGACATCTTATTTACCTCCATGTGATCATAAGAGGGTGTTGCCGCCAGATGCTTAAGTCTGTAATCAACGCAACTACGCCGCTCCCCTCCTCCAGATCGCATTGTCAATCTGAGAGTTCCGCACTTCCAGAGACACGAAGGTGAATGCAAGGCATGAAGCCCTATTCGCAGCAAACTGACCAAAGTTTTGCCGCTAAGCTGGTTTCGGGAACATATTTTTCGTCTTTCTCCTTGATCGTCCATTACATTGCTAGCCGGTCATCACGTTGCTGTTATTTTTGAAGACGCTAATGTATTATGCACCACCGCAGAAAGGGTGGTGACGAACGATGGTTTACTGGTGGTGGCGTAGGGGGCTGAATATCTCAAATGTTAGTTCTTGATGAAAACTTTTTATTCGAATCTGCCGCCCGCAAACAAATTTTACTTTCTCCTCTTTCCAGCAAGGTAACGCAACAACAGGCGGCGCCGCGGATAACCTAAGCATGTGCTCATGAAACATCTAACGTCATTGCTGTTTCTATGTGACGGAAATGCCTGTGCTATCCACGGCGTGATGCCACCTCTGTATCAACCGGGGTGTGCTGCACCATCACCGGCTCGTCTCCCACAGAGCAGCGCAGCAGATCGGGCTTGGAGCGGCAAATTTACCCGCCATCCTGGCAACGCTTGGAGGCTCGACTCACCGCCAGCTGCCTGATGGAATGACTTTTCACTGGATGCCTACGTTGGCTGGAGTATTCGTCAACTATCGCATGCTGGCGCCAACCAGACGTAATCGATTCCGCGCATTCGGTCAAAGTTATGTAAAGCGGATGTGTGGCTGCTTGAGACCTCCAAACATTTCGAGCTTGCAGTCCCGGGAGTTGATTGCAGTGCATTATCATCGATGGATGCGATAAAAAAGATTGAATTAAATCGTATCAAATCTTTCCATTTTTGCTGGATTTTCATTTCGTTAACTAAAAGCTGCATCGTCCTACTTGAGTTGGAGTCAGGATCTACCTCGCCCGCACACCAATTATCGGCAAGCCTACCCATCTGGTGGGCTTCTTAAGAGAACAGTTGCGCCTCTGAGACTAACACAGCATGACCCACTACAGAGACATGGTTGACGCGCTACCACCGGCCTCATCCCGTCACGCCCATGCTGTCTGGCTCAGACCATTCCGCGTGGCACCAGACCCCGGCTTCGGACGCGCGGCTCTGACACGCCGGCGTCAGAGCCGGCGCAGGACAAGTACGTCTGGTCTGGCGGCCCAGCAGCGATACCTCCTCCCAGGGGAGCGGCCCGCAGAACAGCTCGTCGCAGAACGGTCCGTAGAACGGCACGTCGCAGAACGGCGCGTAGAAGTTTCTGGCGCGCACCTGGTCGCGCTCCTCGAGGACCATGTGCGAGCCGAAGTCGGTGTGGGTGAGATAGAAGGTGTGCACCGGGTCGTAGTCACCCACCACGTCCGAGGGCAGGCACGGCTGAAACGGCGCACCGCCACTGCACTGCATCGGCGGCGAGAGAGCGGTCCGGGCGCGCGCGCGGGTGGCGCCGCGGGCCGGAACAGCCCACCAGCTGGTGGCTCTCCGGGTCTCAGTTCACTCACATCGGCGCTGCACGCTCCGGCCGGGGCTTCTTTAGAGGTGCTTGGGACGGTTCCCTTCGGAAGAATTTTGACCCGGCTGTGCATCGCGTAATGACTTGTTCCGTACTCCAAGCGGAGATGAGTTGGAAAGTAATATCGTAACTGTCCGTGAGTTGTTACGAGACCACATGCGAAATGCTTGCGAGAGTCATCAGTCCGCCACCTACGCGTACTCTCTCGTTTCGGCCGGCCCGTACGATCCGTCTGCGCGTGCTATTGACACGGGGTCACCCACCGGCCACCGAGGAGGAGCGCCCAGCCCGTCTCCCTCAGGCACCGTCCTCCGCGCCGCTCGGTCTGCCACCGCCAGAGCGACGTCGACGGCCAATATGAAAGGCTGGCCGTTAATCAGCTGGCACGTAATCGTCTTATTGTCGCTGCGAAGCTCGATGCGACGGCGGCGGCCGGCCGGCGCTAAAAATAGCCACCCGCGACGGCGGAGGGAGACGGCGCCGAGCGCGGCAAATGGGGCCCCGGGAGCCGGCGGCGGATCTCGGCAGACGGCGCGGGGCCGGCGCCGGCACGTACAGAGCACGCGGTGGCAGGGACAGACCTCGGCGGCGCTCTGCGGCGGGACCCAGGCAGCCTGTTCACTGCCGGGCGAGACTGTTGCGTGCACCTGAACATGACTTGGTATTGAGAGTGTTGCGGGAGCCGCGGCTAATTGGACGCTGGATGTGCGTGTCGATGAAACTCCTAGAATGATAGCCTATGTGCTAATAAGCACTTCCGCCGCTTACGTGAGACCAAAAATAGGAGGCCTGTGCAGCATGGCTAAATTCAGTTATTTCAGGCCTGGGTCGTACTTGACCTGAGCTTTACTTCAACTATGCTGCATGATTTCAAAATAGACCCAGAGGCATGTGGCCTCAGTTTGGAGAAGAGACGGACCAGTGTTTTTGACAGACTTTTTTAATCCGACGGTTCGTTTTGGAAGCACCGAGCGGCGAGGTTGAGTCCGAGCCCCAGACGGTGATGGGCCAACCACGCGGATAAGGGCTGAAATCTTTTGATAATCAAAAGTTTTTAATCTAGTACATATGACATGATATAATCCGATGCTCTCGGGGTGAACACCTCGCCGGTCTGTTACCTTTGGTGTCTAACATATAGCGAATACAATTTGATGTTTCGTTGTTAAGAAAAAACGCTATGGTCTTATGCTGGCGCCATGTTCTTTCGTAAGTCAGAGGACTCAAGGGAGACAAGATTGTTTTTGTCGACACCATTCTCTAACAAAG